ATTGCTTTTCAAAATAAAAAAAAATTTTTCCTTCTACTTCAGTTCTGGTCCTATTATCTATGATTGGTATCTAAACCTTTTTCTACTCTGTTTTTCTTTATAAAACAGCATCTGGGCATGTAAAACGTTTAGTCAATCCTAGTCGAAGGTGTCAATTTCACTACCATGTTATTCCAATCACTGTATTTCACGTTTGACAAATCATAGGATGATAAGCAAAGCATGTGAGGATAAGTGTTCTCTGAATTTTACAATATGAATGTGGGTGGTGCTTATTATAGCAACTGCTGTTTTATGTAGAGGTTGTATTTAGTATTGGTCAATAGTACTTTTTTTTATTTTTTTTATAAGCCTTAGAAAACTTGCTTCTGGAAAAACTGCATAGGATATATGTGACTTTTATTATTTTTCTATAGTAGCTTAAGTCATGCTGTATCATATATCTATTTAAATTAATCATAATATTGAAAAGTTAACTCAAAATATATATATTTTTTAGGAAAGAAGTTGATCACGATTGTTAGGGTTAAGAGCTATCGGGTGGCGAATAAAAGGTCTTTACATGAAATAGGCTTAGCACTTTGAACTGAAAGAGTTTGTGTTTTTTTATATTCTTTTGCATTTAAATTTGTAATTTTAAGTTCAATAATTTAGCGTAATTTTATATTTATTTCATAATAATAATAATAATATGATTCAGTATTTAGAATGATAAACTTGTGTAATTTGTATGTAATACTATTAGTACCAGTACCACATAAGAATTTTATATTTTTCCTTCTTACAATCTTTATTTTGTAGTAAGACCCACATTTCTGTTGTCGTTGCTTTAGAATTAAAACAGTCTAACTGATAGATATAAAGTTTATTCTGATATTTTGCAAATGGTTTAAAACTCAGTGTACAAGTGACAACAATAAAACCCATATGTTGGTTGTGAAACAGACTAAATACATTTGTCTCAATAATACAGGGGAACCTATGACATTCTCACAGTTAGGGTCTCAATACACTGAAGAGCTTAAATTTAGAATTCCAACATAAATCTTGCCAATAATGAGAGGAATGTGATCAGGACTAATCTTTTAGGTGCTGTAAAATAATTTTCTTTGTAATTTATGGTGTCTGTATTGTTTGGTAATCTATTCTAACAGGATGTATCAAGTAACTAGGGTCAGGCGGTGTTATTCAAACCACCTGTACAGTAAACTATTAGTATTACATACATTCGCTAGTAGTGGCAATTAGTTTTGTCTGCATAGTGAAACAAAATAAAAGGACATATGTATAAATAAACTTGTTTGAAAGTTCAAAGAAATGATATTCAAGTACTGAAAAGCTTTCTTACTATCATATCTATGGTAATATTGAAATGTGCCTGCACTGGACTGAACAAGAGTGACCACCAACAGGCATGATAGTTTACAGCAAATGTACAAAGTTCATGCTACTAACATCATGATTAATTCAGCACAATAAACAAAAGTATGGCTGCAACGAAACATAAACTTGAAATAAAAATACATTTGTGATACAAAATTAAAATGTTTGCATCTTCTGTGTGGAGCCCAAGATTTGTCTTGGTCCACAAATTTTATTCCAATATATGCATAATACGCTTGTTTGATGAATTCGGTAATATTTAGCCTTTGTTTCTTTACCTTTGGAAGGTTTGTAATGAGATCAAGAACACAGCAGTTAATATTCGTTGGAGAATTTAGTTTAGGCATTTTGATTGAGAGGACACTATTACTATTAGTGTTGAACAGAAGGCTGAAATCTTGGAAACTGTTCAAGATGTTTTTCCTCATCCAATGGTTATGGAAACTACTACAGTAGAGTGGATACTATTTTAGATTTATTATTATCCTTCAGTGAGGAAATGGTTGAGTGGAGGTGATCTGAGTACAAGTGATCCTTGCATAATTAGGTTTGAAGTAGTATCACATATAGAGATCAAGTGTAAGTATTTTGGTTCCAAATTTTAGAAAGTCTAATTTTGTGGAGATAAAACAGGAACCAATTCTGATTTCTTGGGACAGAATTAAATTTAGATGCCTGTCAGATGTGAATGGATTTTAAAAATAAGTTAAATATACAAGACATGTTATGTTCCACAAAGATATAAATGGGTGGCTCACTAAAAGTATTAAGAAGAAAATTAAAGATAACCATTACACATTTAAAAAGTTCTAAGAGAGAGCAGGCTTGGAAGACTATAAAAAATCAAGAGTTTGCTAAAAAAATATTAAGAAGAAATGATATAAAAAAAAAGATTAGCTGAAAATATTAAAAGTAACAGTTGAGATGAAATTTTTTCTTCAGGTTTAACTGGACTAGATGTGAGATGCTGACCAGATTTAACTGGACCAGATGTGAACAGTATTCCAGATGCTGAAAAATTACTGGTGGGAAATATCACAGATGTACAAATATTGGCCAAATATTTTTCCAAGAGTATTAAGAGAGATTGAGAATTGTATAAATAAGCCCCTTATGCATGTTTTTGTGATCTTTGGATAGAAGGCAGATGCCAGAAGACTGGAAACTGGTTAATGTTACACCTTTTATAGGAGGTGATAAGCATTGTCCAGGTAATTATAGGCCAATTAGTTTTACTTTTGTCATGGAAAAGGTTATGAAAAACTGATTAAAAATGCTTTGCAAAGCCACTTAAAGTTTATAATTAAGGATAGCTAAGAGTGCTTTGACAAGGAAAAAGTCTTGTCTCGCAAATCTTTTGACCTTCTTAGGAGTCACTATTTAAATTAATTAAAGTAAATGTGTGGATTTGGTATACTGTGAAACATTGTGGATCTAAACACATTTTAACCCTTTCTTCCCAGGTACCCTTTACTGCACATGACACAAGGTTTTACTGTCTTACACTAAAAACTTTA